TTTGGGAGTCTCCGCTCTTCTTGGATTTTTTGGAATAGTCTGAGAAGGACAGGGGCTAGCTCTTCCTTAAGTGTTTTGTAACACTTAAGTTTCTCCTGTGAAACTGTCCAGTCCAGTTCTTTTGTGTGCTGGGAGTTTTTTGATAAATGCTTCCATTTCACAAGCTGTTATCGGTCTGTTCAGGCTTTCTGCTTCTTCTTCATTGAGTGTTGGAAGGTTATAGTTTTCTAGAAATTTGTCCATTTCATCAAGGTTTTCAAATTTCTTGGCATATAATTGCTCATAGTAATTTCTTACAATCCTCTGTATTTCTGTGTTATCAGTTGTTATTTCTCCTCTTTCATTTCCGATATTATTTATTTGGGTCCTCTCCCTTTTTTCCTTGATGAGTCTCCTTAAAGACTTACTGATTTCATTTATCTTTTCAAAGAACCAGCTCCTGGATTGGTTGATCTTCAGATTGTTCTTTTAGTCTCTATGTCATTCGGTTCTGCTCTGATCTTGATTATTTCCTTCCTTCTACTTGCTCTGGGCTTTGTTTGAAGTTGTAGAGTTAGGTTGTTTACTTGAAATGTTTCTATCTTTTTTAGGTAGGCCTGTGTTGCTATGAACTTCCCTCTCAGGACTGCCTTCTCTGTGTCTCATAGGTTTTAGACTGTTTTGTATTCATTTTTATGTTTCTGGAAACTTTTTGATTTCTTCTTTGATGTCATTATTGATCCATTTAATAGAATGTTATTCAGTCTCCACCAGTTAGAATGTTTTTGAAATTTTTCCTTGAGGTTCGTTTCTAGTTTCAGGCCCTTGTGGAGCCTGTTATAATTTCAATTTTCTTGGATTTGAGGAGGCTTGTTTTGTGTCCTACCATGTGGTCTATCTTTGAAAATATTCCTTGTGCATTTGAAAAGAATGCGTATTTTGCTTCTTTGGGATGAAAGGTTCTATATATGTGAGTTAGATCCATTTGATCTAATGCATCATTCAGTTCCATAATATCCCTGTTTATGTTTTGTTTGGAAGATCTATCCGTTTTTGACAGTGGGGTGTTACAGTCCCCTACTATCAGTGCATTGCTGTCTATATCTTTCTTGAAGTCCTCCAAGATTTTCCTTATATATTTGGGCACTCCCATGTTGGGGTGCATATATGTTTACAATGTTTATGTCTTCTTGATGGCTTCTTCCTTTGAGTATTATAAAGTGTCCTTCTAGGTCTCTTTTTATGGCCTTTGTTGTGAAAGCTATTTTGTCTGATATAAGTATTGCTACCTCTGTTTTTCTTTTCCTGTCCATTTGCTTGATATATTTTTTTCTGTCCCTTTACTTTCAGTCTGTGTAGGTCCTTTGTTCTGAGGTGGGTCTCTTGTAGGCAGCATATGTGTGGGTCATGTTTTCTTATCCATTCAGCTACCCTGTGTCTTTTGATGGGGGCATTTAGTCCATTTACACTTAAAGTTATTATTGATAGGTGCTTATTTATTTTATTCCTTTTTACCTGTGTTCTTCTCTCACTCTTTTTCTTCATCTTCTTAAAGCAGTCCCTTTAGCATATCTTGCAGTGCTGGTTTGGTGTAGGTGTATTCTTTTAGCCTTCTTTTGTCTGGAAAACTCCTTATTTCACCTTCCATTTTAATTGAGAGCCTTGCTGGGTAGAGTAATCTTGGCTTCAGGCCCTTGCTTTTCATGACTTGGGAGTATTTCTTGCCATTCCCTTCTGGCTTGTAGTGTGTCTGTTGAGAAGTCAGCTGCTAGCCATATCAGGGCTCCTTTATGTGTTACTGCCTGTTTCTGTCTTGCTTCCTTTAGGATTCTCTGTCTTTGATATTTGCCATTTTAATGATGATGTGTCTTGGAGTGGGCCTCATTGGGTTCCTCTTGAATGGGACCCTCTGTGCTTCGTGGACTTGTGTGACTTTTTCCTCTCTTCCAATTAGGGAAGTTTTCCATCATTACTTTTTCAAACAGGTTCTCTATCCCTTCCTCATCCTCTTCTCCTTCTGGTATCCCTATTATACGGATATTATTACGTTTCAGGTTGTCCTGCATTTCCCTCAAAGCCTCTTCATTCTTTTTGAGTCTTTTTTCATTTTCTTGCTCTTTCTGGGAGCTTTTTTCTACCTTGTCCTCCAGCTTGCTGATTCAATCCTCCGCTTCATCTAGCCTGCTTTTGATGCCTTCTACTGTGTCCTTCAATTCAGAAATTGGATTCTTCATTTCCTCTTGTCTCTTATTGATAGTTTCTATGTCCTTTTTCATGCTGATATGGTTTTCAGTAAGTTCCTTGTAGTTTTCCTGTAGTTTTCTGTAATTCTCTCTGAGCTCACTGAGCTCATTGAGCTTCCTTAGAACCATTGTTTTGAATTCAGTATCTGATAGTTTCCTTGCCTCTATTTCATTTAGTTCTCTTTGTGGGACTCCTCCTTTGCCTTTGATTGGGGGGTGTTTCTTTGTCTTCCCATTATTTGTGAGACTCTTCGTTTTTGCTTCTGCCTCTTCAATTGATCTGCCTTGATTTCCTGGCTTTGTGGTGTGAACTTCTATGATAGGAGACCACTGTTTTTTCTTTCTGGATCTGCCTCTGATGATGTCAGATGCTGTCTGACCTTAGGCAGTCTGTTCGAGACTTCCAGGAATCTACTGTCTGTGGCTGTCTCCTTCAGATGTTAATCTAGTCACTGTGCACTCAGCAATCAGGCTTAGGCAACACACGGCGGGCAGTGCCTCCTGAGGGTGGGGCTATTGTATTCTTACAGGCTGCTGCCACTCAGGGTAGTGGTCTGTCTGAGCAAGATGGAAGCTTAGCAGTCAGGGAGGAGTCAGCAACAGGATCCCGCCAGCTGCTCTCTCAGTTCTTTCCCCAAAGCCTCCCTCCCCAGTCTCTTCTCAGACATCTCTAGCCCACTCTGCCCTCGCCTTTGCTCAGAGACCAAAGAAGGTGGCTGCCACTGCAAATTTTTGCATTGGTCCTTTAAACAGCGCTTTGCGTCCCCATCTGCCTGTCTCTGGCAGAGAGCGCCACTACACTTTTCGCAGCTGTCTTTTGTCTGTGTGCTTTTAGGGCTCTGGCACTGTAGGCTAGAGGTCCCTGCTTATGATTCGGACCCTGCTCTTCTCAGGGGGATCCAACTGGCCATTTCAATATTCCCTGGCGCTCCCCCCATGGGCAGCCAGCCCACATTCTTGAGCCTCCACCACACTTCTTCCCCGTTAGGTTGTGCAAAAGTCAATTCCACTGTCTGTCCTGGGTTTTAAGTCTCCTCTCTCACTATCGTTCCATTGTCTTCCAGGTGATTTCTCCACAATTTAGTGGCAATTCCATTTTGGGGCTAGGAGGAAGTCAGTGTGACTTCCACTCACTCCTCCGCCATATGCAATTCTCTAGTTACCCCTTTTAAATGGACCACCTGTTTCCTGCCAGGATCCTACTGGATATATCTTTTGTTATTGGTTCCCTAGAAGCCATTAGATCTCCATAAGTTATTTTTTCCCACCATGAAATTCTACCCTCCCTTATTTTCCATGATACCTCTCTCTCCTAGTCTTATATCAACAATTCTATTCCTATATGCAGGCTTCTCTCTCTCTCTCTCTTACTTCTTAAATGTTGCTGTTCTTCAGTGTTCTATCCTAGTTTTCTCATCACAGCATATATTCTTCATGGTTGATCTCATTTATTGTGTTAGCTTCAAATATTTTAAGCTTAGATCCTTCTATTTAGCTCAAGACACATATAATTTCAATTACATAGGATGAAATAGCTTTTTTTTTGTCCTCTTCAATCCATTATCCACACTTGTTCACAATAAATTGGACTGATATGTTAAAAAAGAAAAGATGATCTTATCACCCATTGGCTTAAAATGCTTCATTGGCATCTCTTAAACTCTCAGGATGAAGATTATATACTTAAGCATACAGATATATTTACCTAACCAATCTCATATCTACCCAAGCTACTGGTATTTTGCATTCTATATTCAGCCATATTGTTACTCCTAGAACAGATCTTTCTTTCTATTACTCCTGGCCTTTGCACATGCTCATCCCTCTGTTTGCAGTGCCACCTACCCACTTGCTTCATGATTAACTCTTATTTTCTTCAAAGCTTTGCTGAAGAGTCTCCTCCTATTCCATGAGGTCTTTCCTGAACTATAATGAAGACTGAGATGATGAATTTAATTGTTCTTAACTATGATCAAGGAAACTATTTGACACAGGTATTCTAAAAAATGGATTTACTTTAGTAAATAACATGTACAGGTAAAATATTAACATTATTTACATCTGAATTGTAGCTGTTTTTATATAAATAAATATTAAATATTATTAGTATTGCTTGTTTGGTACTATTGTATACTTTTGAAGCATTATTTCACTTCTCTTCTAGATCATATATGAGGGATTATATTTTACAGTGTTATACTTCTCCATATCCCCTTTATAATGTTCAATCTAGTGCTATGCATGTAGTAGCTTCAAAAAAAAACATTTATAGTAAATAAATGGAAAATATAGGATGTCAGAGTGTCCTCTGTAGTTGGTTTGTCCATCCTACTGCTTCCAGATGACTGATTCATTTAGCTAATCTGAAGATGAAGCAGGAAACACTATAGCTTTTTCAAAGCACCAAGAAAAGGCTTTCTGTGAGGAAAAATTCATTTCTACCACAGAATTACTCTTTTTACTTAAAATCATATCACTATAATTCAACATAATTTTTTCACCGTGATGAAGATAAATAACAATATCAATATTTTTAAATAGTTTTTTTGATGATAGTTTCCATAGAAATTCAATGTAGGCAGCATTGTAATACCAAAGAAAACAGATTTAAGTTTGCTTTATTCTTGAAGCAATTTATATTCCACTCTAACTTAATTTAATCTGTAAAAAGTAAAATAGTAACTAAAACAGGAGTAAGGAGTAACTGATGAAAAGGCCTACAAATTCAGCAACCAAAAAACTATTAATAATTATACATAATAATCATAAAGTACTTACCTCTGGTTTACTGCTGTTCTGTGGGAAGAAGAAAAGTTCACTTTTGATTTTAAGTTGGATTCTTGAATTTGTTTGAGGGCCTCTTCTAATGGAGGCACTGGTTTTTGAAAAACTAAGGGGATAATAAAAAAAGATCAAATAGTAAAGAATCACTTCAATGATCTTTTTATATATAATTTAATTGGTGAGTGATAAAATATAACTTTAAAACTTTGGTAAAAAGAAAATTTTTTTTAATATAGTCTAAATAGTTTAACTTTAGATATCTAATCCTCAAAGAGAAATTGTTACCTCAAAATTCTTATCACCAATTTTAAGAATATTTATTTGGAAAGAAAGAAACTTTGAGAAATGTCCAGATTCTTTGTTCTGGCATGCAAAACTCATTGTATTTCATCTCAGGGTTCCATAAATTTCTGAAAAAATCTATAAATATTCTTATGAAGAAAAGGGAAAACTATGACAGCTATTTTTAAACACTTTGTATGTATTATCTAATTTAATACTCTTTATGGCCTATGACGCAGATGCTATTTGAATCTCCATTTTGCAACTGAGGAAACTGGGACATATAGCAGGTAAGTTACTTGTTCAAAGCCATACATTATATAGACATTCATCCACATACTACTTTGCACCTCTAATTTACCTTCTTTTTTGAGTTGAAACACAGTTGTCTTTTAAGGATATTGTTTTTCCTGAAGAGCTCTAACCTGGAGACATGATTTTCCTTTGATTACGTACTACGGATAATTCAAGGCCTGACATCTACAAACTGTCTTTCCTCCTTTTTTCCTTTAAAAACCCCTATTATAGACTTTAAGTACATTTAGAGCTAGATTACAGGCTCTGTAATCTGTATGGAATGTACAGAATGTCTACAGTCCAGATGGCAGTATAGGTAAACACAGTTCACCTTCACACACAGCCACATCAACATTACAACTAAATTATAAAACAACCATGATGTAGAATCAGCAGAAATAAAATGGAAGTATGACAATGATGGAATTAAAGAAACCACATCCATCCAGTCAGGTAGATGGTGGGGGGAGACGTGGAACGGGCTAGTCCCACATACACATATGGTGGGTAAAAATCCAGGAGGGAAATCTTGGGAGCAAGAAGTCCCAGCTCCACACCAGGCCCCCTGCCCAGGGTACCAGTGCCAGGAAGTTAAGTCCCCATTACTTCTGGCTGTGAAAACCAGCAGGGGTTGCGTGGATGGAAGAAACTTCTGGAGTCCCAAGCAGTTCCCCTTAAGGGACCCACACACAAACTTACTCAGACTCACTCCCTCTGAGCTCCAGCACTGGGGTAGCAGCTTGAAAGGCACAAATGGCACACATTTGGGAGGAACTGAAGTGTCTGGCATGAAAGCAAGAGCTGGGGGACAGCTTTCTCCAAAACAGGCAGGCAGAGCCACATAGCAGGAACGGTACCCCATCAACCTGGAGTCTCCTCTGAGACTTCATCAACCTGGCCAACACTGTTTGCCCCACCCTGTAGTTTCCCTTAGGCTCCAACCCACCCAAATTACAGCTGTTAACCATAACTTTTTTATATGAATGGCTGTTCTTGGCTCAAGCTTCACAATTCCTAAATCCTTTCAAACAAACAAGAGCTGACCTCAGTGAACTCCCAGTCCCCATACCTCTTATTAAGTGGCCCTAGGCATGGTACTAGCAGCAACCAGACTAGATTGACAGCTTCGCTTTACCTGGGAATCTCCAAGCCCAGAAAAAGTAGCAGCCATTTTACATTACTCTTTAGTTCAGGCAGGGTGGCCCTAGGCAAAACACTGATGAGGGCTGACTTTGGCTTGCATAACCCAAGACCCCAGGGCCAGTGTACCCAGTGGACAGCTACAGGCCATGCTGTAGCTCCACCACCCTGCCCCTCCACAGCTGATCCTCCATGGAGGGTGGAGGTTGGTGATCAGTGGTCTTAACCAATCCTTGTAACTGACTGGCTTGGGTAAATCCCTCCCATTGATCTGCCAACAGCAACCAATGCTCAACTACAAGAGGAGGGTGTACTCAGCCCAGACAATGGATGTACTTCAAATACCCAGCTTGGGTGATAGGGAAGGCTGTGCCACTGGAACCTATAGAACACCTACTATATTAAGGCCATGATACCAAGACAGGGAGTCATAGCAGCTCTATGTAAAACATAAAAACAAACACAGGGAGACTGCCAAAATGACAAGACAAAGGTACATGGCTCAAATGAAAGGACAGATCAAAACTCCAGAAAAAGAGTTAAGCACAATGGAGATAAGCAATCTAGCAGATGCAGAGTTCAAAATACTGGTTATAAGGATGCTCCAGGAACTCAGTGAGGACCTTAACAGCACACAAAAAAAATCAAGTCAGAAATGAAAGATAGAGAGAATCAAGAGAGCAGAGGAGTGAATGGAAGTCACACTGACCTCCTCCCAGGACCAAAATGGAATTACAACTAAACTGTGGAGAAATCACCTGGAAGAAACAACTGAACAGCGAGAGAGGACATTGGACAGACAGAAGAATCAGCTTTAGCACAACCTAACTGGTAAGGAGTGAAGTAAAGACTTGAGAAGGCGGGTGGGGTGCCCACGGGTGGCAGCAACAGAAGGATACAGAAACAGCCAGTTGGATCTCCCTGAGAAGAATGGGGTCTAAACCATAAGCAGGGATCTCCAGACTACAGCGCCAGAGCCCAAAAAGTACACAGATAACAGCCAGCTGTGAAAAGTGGCAGGGTTGCTCTCTGCCAGAGACAGGCAGATGGGGACGCAAAGTGCTGTTTAAAGGACCAATGCAAAAATTTGCAGTGGCAGCCACCTTCTTTGGTCTCTGAGCAAAGGCGAGGGCAGAGTGGGCTAGAGATGTCTGAGAAGAGACTGGGGAGGGAGGCTTTGGGGAAAGAACTGAGAGAGCAGCTGGCGGGATCCTGTTGCTGACTCCTCCCTGACTGCTAAGCTTCCATCTTGCTCAGACAGACCACTACCCTGAGTGGCAGCAGCCTGTAAGAATACAATAGCCCCACCCTCAGGAGGCACTGCCCGCCGTGTGTTGCCTAAGCCTGATTGCTGAGTGCACAGTGACTAGATTAACATCTGAAGGAGACAGCCACAGACAGTAGATTCCTGGAAGTCTCGAACAGACTGCCTAAGGTCAGACAGCATCTGACATTATCAGAGGCAGATCCAGAAAGAAAAAACAGTGGTCTCCTACCATAGAAGTTCACACCACAAAGCCAGGAAATCAAGGCAGATCAATTGAAGAGGCAGAAGCAAAAACGAAGAGTCTCACAAATAATGGGAAGACAAAGAAACACCCCCCAATCAAAGGCAAAGGAGGAGTCCCACAAAGAGAACTAAATGAAATAGAGGCAAGGAAACTATCAGATACTGAATTCAAAACAATGGTTCTAAGGAAGCTCAATGAGCTCGGTGAGCTCAGAGAGAATTACAAAAAACTACAGGAAAACTACAAGGAACTTACTGAAAACCATATCAGCATGAAAAAGGACATAGAAACTATCAATAAGAGACAAGAGGAAATGAAGAATCCAATTTCTGAATTGAAGGACACAGTAGAAGGCATCAAAAGCAGGCTAGATGAAGCGGAGGATTGAATCAGCAAGCTGGAGGACAAGGTAGAAAAAAGCTCCCAGAAAGAGCAAGAAAATGAAAAAAGACTCAAAAAGAATGAAGAGGCTTTGAGGGAAATGCAGGACAACCTGAAACGTAATAATATCCGTATAATAGGGATACCAGAAGGAGAAGAGGATGAGGAAGGGATAGAGAACCTGTTTGAAAAAGTAATGATGGAAAACTTCCCTAATTGGAAGAGAGGAAAAAGTCACACAAGTCCACGAAGCACAGAGGGTCCCATTCAAGAGGAACCCAATGAGGCCCACTCCAAGACACATCATCATTAAAATGGCAAATATCAAAGACAGAGAATCCTAAAGGAAGCAAGAGAGAAACAGGTAGTAACACATAAAGGAGCCCTGATATGGCTAGCAGCTGACTTCTCAACAGACACACTACAAGCCAGAAGGGAATGGCAAGAAATACTCCCAAGTCATGAAAAGCAAGGGCCTGAAGCCAAGATTACTCTACCCAGCAAGGCTCTCAATTAAAATGGAAGGTGAAATAAGGAGTTTTCCAGACAAAAGAAGGCTAAAAGAATACACCTACACCAAACCAGCACTGCAAGATATGCTAAAGGGACTGCTTTAAGAAGATGAAGAAAAAGAGTCTATGAATACCCAGTTCCTTTCACAGTCACCAGTATCTGACATTACCAATATTTTTAATACTTACTAATCTGATTGTGACAATGATGTGTTATTTTGTTACTTATTTGTTGAAACTAAACCTGTTTTTGTGTATTTCTTGCCTATATCTATTATTTTAAAAAAGCTTTAAATGACTTTTTGGCTTTCTTTTTCCATTTTTTGATTAAATGTTAGTAGAACTGTTTCCCTAAATAAAGCAAAAACAAACAATTAACCCTTTTTAAGATATGTGCAAATACTTTCCTATTCTATTACTTGTCCTTTAAGTTTTTTTAATATGTATATTACTGTATAGTCTTAAATGTTTAATATAGTAATATTGTCAATATTTTACTTTATAGCTTCTGGGTTTCAATATTTGACTTCAGGGTAGGAAAAATATTATTTTGTATTTTCTCCTAAATCTCCTTAGATTTTACATATTGATTTTGAATTCACCTGAATATTTTCTTGTATAATGTGTGAAATAGGGCTCTCTATTTGTTTTATTTCAAGGAATAGTGGTCCATGCATCTTATTTATTGAATAAGCTTTATTTTCCCCATTGATTTAAAATATCAATTTAATCATATATTACATTGTTCTCAGATATATATGTTTGTTTCTAGAATACTCATTTTATTTCATTGATCTACTTGATATCTCCATGCTGGTGTCATGTTTTAATTGCTGAGACTTTAAAATGGGATTTAAATTTTTTAAATATTTTATAATGTGTTTTGACATTTACAAATAAATAAATAAAAGAAATCTGCATATAAAATAAAAAGAAAGAAGTAAAGAACTCCTACCTTTTGCACCAATATGGATGGAACTGGA